TTCTTAAACTCACGGACTATTCAGTGAGGCATAAGATGACAAAGGTAACAATACAAGTAACTTGGAAATGCTTATTGCTTAAAAAAATAAAACTAATAATCAATTTCCATCACTTGTTGACTCATGATGTGCATTTGTGTATATTCGAAACCGCACACCCTTGGCATTTCCACATCCCACTAATAAGTTTCAGGGAGTAACTTCTGAATTTTGTACTATTTTTGGATTCCTAGAGATGGTATTTTCTTCAAATGTATTTATTATATGCATTGTGCTGAAACTGAATTTACATGGTTCATGAATATAACAAAAACAACGAGGACTGAAGCCATTTTTCTAATGATTATTTAGCAATAGAAGCAACAAGACTATTTGCAAAATGAATATATCTGAACCATGAAGGATGAAGCAGTACATTTTTGCCATCATTGACAAGGAAACTCAGTAGACATTTGATTGCCTACCAATGGAACAGTGAACATACCACATAACAACAAATTCATGTGCTCAAAATGAAGTTTTCTGATTAAAGTTAAGAACAGGAGTCAGATGATACCTGAATCAGGATATCATCTCCATATACAATTATATTAGCAACGATGCGAAGGGCATAATTCAAAACATATCTTGAAGGATATCTGCAAACCAAATAAGTACAACTATGAAGTTCAATAACACAACCGAAGTTAAAAATCAAAAAACAAGGAACAATATCAAGTTGGATTTTTTTCCCTTACAGTGAAAGCTCAATCAAACGAGGGAAAACACCGGCATCAATCACAGCTTGGATTATATCCTCTCTCTCGTCAATTAGATAATATAATATGTGGCATACATTGCCTACTTTATCGTCCGTATGAATCAGATGGGAAAGAAGATGGATGGCGGGTTTCACCTGCTCAATAATATCCATATGGAATCGGTTAAATATAAAAAGGTCCAGCAGTATTTATATGCATCAAAACCATACAGAAAAGCATTTGGAAGACAAACCTGATCGAGCTCGAACTGAGGCCGTGTTACTGTAAGAGAAAATATTGACAATGTCTTCAAGGCACTTCTCACGATGGATAGTTCTGTTTTATCATTAACTTGTGCCATTAAGGTGATGCACACTCCATGACTATCGATAAGATCACGAGATCGTGGTGAGTTGCAGGCCATATATCCTAACATCTTAATTGCCTACATAAAATAGTTGGACATACAGTCAAAAGCAGCCATAAAATAAAATTAAAAGCTCGTATCAATTTGTAAAAAGTTGGAAAAACATATCTCTAATACAGGGAGCACGGTGTTGTTATGTCATTTACTGTTAAAAAGTGTTATTTCTACTCAGATGAAAAAAAAAAAAACGTAAAAGCAGTCATGGAACAATGTCATTTTTGGCACTAGTTTAAAGGCACAGCATTTCATCTTGGATCAGTAGCTTGACACGATTAATCAATTGATCCTAGTTTTAATCAATTAATATAAATTTGCATTCCTTTGTTTTGCTCAACTTCAGATTCAGAGAGCCTTTTCGTTTGGCCTCAACTTTCAAGTATTTTTCTTGAGCTAATGTGTAATTTCTTCAATCCGGAATCTTACAATTGAACTATTAGTAGCAGAGTTTTCCACTTGAAGTTTCTCTTCTGTGTGTCATCCACTTGTAAACTGTAGCGAAAATACTCCTAATGTAGATTAAGTTTATCTTCGAGCTTATGTCAACATACCGAATAATATTGTGTGTTCAGTGGTGTTTATGGTTACGTGACAACATATGTGTCATTATAATAGGTCCAATTAAATATGATGATTGTTGGTAAATCCCGAGTGATGAGGTATTTGGAGTTAAAAAAGGAAGGTTTTAAGCTAATTTGGAGCTATTGAAGGCTAATCGAACTACACGATATCGATAAGGAGTAATCAGTAGAAAGTTGCAAGTTTCAAAAGCGAAATTCATTTTATTGAAAGTTTAAGGTTAATTTTCACATTTTTGAAATTTGAGGTCTAATTCTCGAAAGATTATTGAGGAGGATAAATGTGGAAGCTTTTGGAAGTTGTAGGATTAAATATTGAAGAATTGGAGAAAAATGATCAAGCCGAAAGAAAATGTTGAAATAGGGACCAAACCTCAACAATCTAAAAGTTGAAGGACTAGCACAAATTAGAAAAGGTTGGTGACGAAGGTGATGAGTTGGTCTTTAAAGAAGGCCTCGAGGAGAGATTGGAGCTTGG